TGCCAAATTAGGGGGAAGAATAGATGGAGAAGAACATAGAATTGGAAAGTATGGATATGGCGAAAGAAATAATAGAGGACACACATTAATGAACTACTTGGAGGAGAGACAACTTTTTGCTATGAACTCGTTTTTTAACAAAAAACCACAAAGAAAATGGACATGGATAAGTCCAAACGGTAATACAAAAAACGAAATAGATTACATCCTTACAACAGAAAAAACCATCATCAAAGATGTTACAGTACTGAACCGCTTCTCAACCGGTAGCGATCATAGACTTGTCAGAGCCAAACTCAGGATTAATAGCCAATTCGAAACAAAAAAGAAAATAGAAAATGTATCGAAACTAGATATGGAAAAACTTAAGCAATCAAAAGACGAATATAAACAAAAAATAAAGGAAGGTATACCGGTCACTAGAGATTTGGAGAACAAAAATATCGATGAAATAAATCAGCTATTAACCGATACATTAGCAAAGGCGGGAAAAAAGGTAGCACAAACAAGAATAAAGAAGGAAAACTATGTATCCCAGGAAACAAAAAATCTTATGAGTAAAAGAAAAACATTACTGGAACAAGATAAGAGAAACACAGTAGATTACAAAGAGGTAAACAAAGCTATCAGAAGGAATATCAAGGATTATAAAAGGAGAGTACAGGAAGAAAAAATAGAAAAAGCAATTGAACAAAATAAAAACATGAAGTGCTTAAAACCACAGCTTGGAACCATACAAATTAATAGTATAAAGAACAAAGAAGGTACAGAGACCAATAATGTAGAAGAAATTATACAGATAACACAAGAATATTATAAAAACCTCTACAATACAAAACAGAAACCAACCCAAGAAATTCTTAAGCAACTACAAATAAAAATAAAAAATGTTAATTCCGACTTACAACCAGAGATCAGTAAGAACGAGATAAGAAGAGCACTCAAAGAGATGAAGAACAATAAATCGCCAGGAAAAGACGGGGTGACTGTAGAAATGCTAAAACATGGTGGGAAAACAACTAGAGAAGTTTTGTACATACTTATGAATAAAATTTTAATGACAAAACAAATACCCAACAGTTGGAACGACGCAATAATACTGTTACTATTTAAGAAAGGAGATAAAAAGGATCTAAAGAATTACAGACCCATAACTTTATTAAATGTGATGTACAAACTATTAACCAAAATATTAACAAATAGATTAACAACTAAATTAGATGGATACCAGGCAAGAGAACAAGCCGGATTTAGAAAGAGCTTCAGTACAAGTGACCACCTTTTAACGATGAAGATTTTAATCGAAAAAGCTAACGAATATCATATCCCGCTATACATGGCATTTATTGACTTTGAGAAGGCATTTGATAGTGTGGAACACTGGACAGTACAGAATTCCCTACAAAACAGCAGAATAGACTACCGATATACCGACTTAATTACAAATATATACAACAAGGCAACAACAACTATTAAGCTAATGAAACAAACGGAGCCTATTAAAATAAACCGAGGAGTAAGACAAGGAGATACCATATCGCGCAAGTTATTTAACCAAGCGCTAGAAGATGTTTTTAAACGACTACACTGGGATGACTTGGGAATTAATATAAACGGGCAAAATCTGAATCATTTACGATATGCTGATGATATTGTATTAATAACAGAAAAAAGTGAAGAATTACAAAGAATGACAGAAGAACTAGATAGAGAATCGACAAAAATTGGACTCAAGATGAATTATAGTAAACAAAAACCATGACTAATCAACCAGAAGAACTTATGATTACAGTAGCACAAACAAAAATAGAACAAGTAAAAGAGTATATATATCTAGGCCAAATCACTAAATTAAATAAAGAAAATCAGACCGAAGAAATAAAGAGAAGAATAAGATTGGCCTGGGCATCATTCGGAAAACTGTCTTATATTCTAAAGAATTCAAAATACCCCCAATACTTAAAAACGAGAGTCTTCAATCAATGTATACTCCCTGTCCTCACATATGGCTCTCAGACATGGACGTTTACAAAGGAAAATATGGAAAAAATAGCAAAGACAGAAAGATCCATGGAAAGACAAATGCTGAACATTAAACTATCAGACAAAAAAAGAAAAGAATGGATCCGTAATAAAACAAAAGTGAAAGATGTCTCAACCCAAGTAGCAAAGCTTAAATGGAAGTTCGCCGGACACACCCTAAGGCAGAAAGATGAAAGATGGACTAAAACAATTATACATTGGAGACCATGGAATCACAAACGTAAAAGGGGAAGGCCACAAATGCGATGGTCAGATGACCTGAAGAAACACGCCGGGTCAAAATGGATGCAAATTGCCCAAGATAGAGAGGCATGGAAGAAGGAGGAGGAGGCGTATATCCAAGGAAGGATTTTAAGGGCTGTATAGATAGAACTGTTCATATTGTCTTACAAATGCGTATAAAGGACACTCCACTAATAAGTGATGCATTGTTAGGTCACTATCACCCGCGTATTACAAAGGTTTGAGTTACCTCTGTACGACACGAATTTCCTTTGAAATGGGTTTTTTGCAAACATAGGATGGATGGATGAAATTTATTTATAAGAATTTTAAGATATTCTAAATGGGTATGGTACCCATTTAGATTCCATTGAATAATAGAATTAAAAATAGTCTAATTAATAAGTCTCCGCAGAGGAATCGCTAGGATCATTGGTAGAAGTATTACTACAAATTTGTTCTGTAATTTTGTTTTGAATTCTAGAACAACGGGATTTAAGATATCTTGGACTTAACATATGATGTAGGTATTTTCTTTAGAAAGTCTATTAATCCTTCGATATCCTTCGAGTAAGTTTTGGCGACACTGAGAGAATCTGTAGAACCATGCGCATTTTCAAAGAAATCAATAAGTTCTTCCTGTGTTAAGTATCCAGTGTTGGAGTTTTCTTTGAAGAATTGGTTGGTGCATTTGGTAAGATCTTCTACATTCTGGTGCATTTGGCTTCGGAGGTATTTTCGTTATCTCTTATTGGGGGGGGGGGTATTATTTCAGATAGGTTTCGTTTGGGTTGCTGTATCTTGATCAAAGGTATCCATTTGACGTTTTAGCCTTAGCAAGAGAGGAATATGTAGAGGAATTTATCGACAAAGGAGCTGACTGTTGTACTGTAGTTTCAGTCTTAGTAGAGAGAATTGTGTAGAAGAAATTGCCGAGAGAGGAGCTGATCTGTGTACTCCCTGCAAAGTGTTTAGATGAACATTATTTTGGGTCTTGTTTGAAGGAGTCTAATTATTTTTATTGGGACACAGATGCAAAATGTCCTGGCCGCTTGCATAAGTAGCAAGATTGCTTTTCGACGTAAAAGAAAATGCTGGATTTAAAGTCTCTATCCTGACAAAGTCAGTAGGAGTTATAAGATGTGTACTTAAGTTTTTCAGTTGTTCTTCTACAACGCTGTGCGGAATACTTGGACATACGTTAGAAATAATCAATCGTTCATTCCGAGTTATTAGTCTTCGGGCTTGAAATAAGTTTTTGATTACTTACTTACTTACTTACTCCGTGGCGTTACAACCCTTCGTAGGTTTTAGCCGACTCAACAACATGTATCCACTGTTGTCTATCTTGAGCAACTTCCATCCAATTCTCCACGCCCATAGCGCTTGGGTCTCCTGCTACATTATCTCGCCACCAGAGACGAGGGCGTGCGCGTGTTCTTCTTCCAGTTGGGACTTCCTCCTACACCAGTCTTACTGTTCGTTCGTCAGAATGTCTTCTGAGGGGTCCTGCCCATTGGAGTCTTCTGGACTTTATTTCTTTTATGATGTTGGCGTCTGGGTAAAGTTCTTCAAGCTCTTTGTTAGTTCTTATCCTATATTGTCCTGATGCTTCATCCAGCACAGGACCAAAGATCTTCCTTAGGATTTTTCTTTCCCAAACACATAGTCTCTCTTTGTTTGCCTTTGTTATTGTCCACGTTTCGCTTCCATACATCACAACCGGTCATATGATTGTTTTATAGACCTGTATCTTCGTACGTCGTGTTAGTTGTTTTGATGGTTTTGGAGGGCAAAAAGACATCTGTTGCCGGCCTGAATCCTGTTGTTTATTTCTTGTGATCCGTTATTGTCTTCAGTTATTGTTGTTCCAAGATACCATTATCTGTTTTATTGTGAGTATCTAGTCAGTAGTAGAGAAGCCCGGTCTAAATCCGCATTGATAATCTCCAACGATTCCCTCTGTGTATGTTTTGGTTTTTTCCAGCAGGATGTTTGCCAGGATTTTGTAGGTGGTGTTTAGGAGTGTTATTCCTCTGTAATAAATACATTGGTTTTTGTTTCCTTTTTTGTGTACAATAACCACTTCTTTCCATTCATCTGGCATTGTTTCTTCTCGCCAAATGTCTTGAATTAGCTTGTATATAGAACTGTACAACGCTTCTCCCCATGTTTTAAGCATTCTGCGGGTATACCATCGCTACCTGGTGTCTTATTATTTTTAAGTTTTTTAATTGACTCTATTACTTCTTCGTATGTCGGGTATTGGTCTTCTATTTCAGCTGTATGTACCTCTATGTTTGATGTATTTCTGCTAGATTAGTCATTAAATAGTTAATAGACGTATTCCGTCAAGGTTTTTAGTATTTCCTTGTCATCCGTGATAAGTTGTCCACTGTCGTTTTGAAGGAAGTTTCCTGTTCTTGCTTGATACCCGGTCTTGATATCTGAAACTCCTTTGAAGAACTGTCTCGCTTGTTTGTTCTTTCTTTTTTCTTATATATATATCTGATAACTTGTTCCGGATACTCTCTCTTCTTCCTTTTCATTAGTTTTCTTGTCTTTGTTCTTCTTTGTCTATACATTTCATTGTATTATTGAATACATTTTTGATTAATTACTACAATTCCATTGTCGTTTGCTAAAAACTCATTGACTGTCTGTTAATTGGTAAAGAAGATACAAATAAGATCATTTATAATTTTAGAAATATGATGTATTTTTCTGGGATTAACTTTTTGTAGGTTGATTAAGAGCTGTAGAATATAATTTTGATGGTTGGTTTACAAGTAGATTGTCAGAACTTTCCATGGTGGAAGTTCCCGCTGCTGAATCCATTTCCATGCTTGGGCTAAATAAACAGAATACGGCCCTGGTGCTTCTAATAAATAAAAAAATTATTAAAAATCCTTTGTAAAAGGTGTATATATATATATATATATATATATATATATATACATATATAAAGGTATATAAATGTATACCTTTTACAAAGGATTTTTAATAAATTTTTTAATATATGATATACAGCCAACTACAGGAACGTAGATTCCTTGTGGATTCTTATAATAAATCATTACGGAAAGGACTGGTAATCCACCTCACGCCAAATCTGCAAAATAGTAGTTTACCCTTGATTTGTTATAGATGAAATAGGAAAGTCAAACTTCAGTTTTTAGTCCAGAAGAAGTAACACTTTTACACTGCACCTTTGTTTAAATATTAGATATAAACAAAATTCAACATTTGAATAAAAAAAATCCTAATTTTGTTTAAACTAACAAGCTAATATTAAATATCAATTATCGCTAGTTGCTGATATGTTTACTGTTTGCAGGTTCGATCGAGAATCCTCGCAAAAAAAAATTATTTTATTCAATTTTAAAAATAATATGTAAAATTTAAAAGTAAGGCTTTGCGCTAGTTTAGAGTATCTGTTTACTGTACCAATTTTCTTTAAAAAGTGATATCCAACATCCATGAGTCTTGAGATTCATTAAAAGACTGATATAGCATTTTTTATTTATCCTTGTATTTTAATCACATAATCAAGTGGCTTATATTCAGCAGCCAAGTTATTATAATCAAACGTTCATTCTATTTGTTTGTAAAATTCAAGAGGGCGACTCTGGTGGCTTGAAAGTCTTACGCTAAAGTGATATTTATTCGAATATTTTACACGTGTATCTTGCTAATTTAAGTTGCTTGTGGCAGTCATTACTTGTGTTATTTATGCATTTATTTTTAGTTTACTATTGCTGTATTTATTGGTAATAGCGCTTAGCAATTGTAGCAAGAAGCTTAAAATTTATTAAATATGTCGTCTGTCTTTCTTAAGCTGTTTATAACGTTATCTTTATATCACTTTGTCTTCAGACACTAGTGCATCGCTGATACAAATTCGTACACCAAACTGCAAGAATATATGTTCTGCTATTTCTTACTTTAAGTGGTAAACTACAGAAGCTAACCACCAACCTAACAACGAAATCTTCTTCTGCTTATCATACGGTGATAGTTTTACTACGACAATTGTATTTTAGATGTCTCAGCAATTCCGAGGTGTAACATCATGATGCCCAGAGTATATATATTTTAGGTGTATCCCCTGTTGATTGTTAAAATATAGTTTGCATGTTTTGTTACCCCGAGATACGATATAAATTTAGTTTTTTGAGTTAACTTTGAATAGTCGATGTGTTAAACTATATTGTGGAAACTATGCTCAAATATTTTTTATTCGAGAAAATTATAATCACCTAATACCTTCAATATTAATGAAAGACAGAGAAATTTGTTATTTAAATAAAATATGGCAAAAATATTTAAATAACTAATTAAACTTTCATAGTATGCTAATATACTAAACTAAAATACTTGTCAATTAAGGACGCCGGCTAGCATATTTGTTTTCTTTTGGAAAGCAGTTTACTTTATTAGTTATTTAGTTAGTTTTTAGGTACTTATTTAGTTCTGCAATATGGAATAATTGTCCCGCATTTGGTATCCGAGTCCATTCACGAATGTTCCTCAACCAAGAAATCCTTTTCTTCCTACACCTCTACGGCCCTCTATTTTACCTTTAAGATTAGTTGTAATATTTTATCCACAAGGAAAAATTCCTGTAGCTGGCTGTATACCACGTATAACAAAAAGAGGTTAATCTTTGTAAATGGGTATATTTATTTAAAAAAACCCTTAAAAGGGCCACATCAATAAAACAAACATTTTCGGACCACACAGTCCATCATCAGGTTTTTAAAATCGAAAAATGCCTAAAAATAAGTATAAACCATTTAGTTAAAACAAACGAGATTGTGAAATTTTGACTATGGTTGAAAAGCAAAAGATGGTTATACTTTATAGGTCACAATGCCTGAGCCTCCAAAATACTAGGGTAAAAACCCTTTAAATTACATTTAGTTATGAAATGTTATACATTTTGTTGTAAAATAACTGTGATGTTCAGTATTAAATTAGACTATAGGTAACACATGGCTCAATCTGGTTCCAGAGCCGGTGAGAGGATACCTCTGCACTCGGAGAACAGCGTGGAACTGATTGACAAGATACTTTTGAAGGATGAAGATAACAGAATGTCAATGTAACAAAAACTATAATAGTTGTACATAGTATTACTACAGCCAAAAGATTCAACAAGTTTTGATGATTTTAAAAGAATAACAACAATCTAGGTGTTGAGATTTAAAAACTTTTTTATTTATTAATTTAAGGTATAAAAGATGTCAAATCAATGATGGTTTTATAGTCATGATTAATAGAATGACCTGTGCCTTAGGTAACTTATGTTGCTTTTCGTCGTATGGAATGTGGTCTAAAGTGTATTTAATATTGGGTTAGCTTTTATATATGAAATTTATCCTTTTTGTTTAACACATCTAGGACAAGGTAAAAATTAAATAACAAATATTTGAAGCTAATATCAGACCTCGTAATTAAATGATTTTATTTAAGACTGCTCCTATGGTGAAAAATTAATAAAATTAAGTTTAGTAAGATGGAAATCTACAGGCTGAAGAAATTGAAGTAGTAACATATGTGATTGAATTTAAAATTGGAGAGGCTGGGTTCCTCAGAGACTAATGAGAATAAAAGTAAAGGAAATGACTGAAGAAAAGGAGGGGGGGGCGGTTGAAGGAGAAAAGGAGTTGATCAACAATTAGAGATAATAGGGGTCCTTTATACTTAACGTATCTAGCACCCTGAACAAAATCTATTTTGGTGGTATTAAATTCAGTTTGTAGAAACCTGAAATTATATATATTATATTACTTATACAACAAATTTCAAATTACAAAACAAATTTCAGGTTTCTACAAACTGAATTTAATACCACCAAAATAGATTTTGTTCAGGGTGCTAGATACTTTAAGTATAAAGGACCCCTACTATCTCTAATTGTTGATCAACTCCTTTTCTCCTTCAACCGCCCCCCTCCTTTTCTTCAGTCATTTCCTTTACTTTTATTCTCATTAGTCTCTGAGGAACCCAGCCTCTCCAATTTTAAATTCAATCACATATGTTATTACTTCAATTTCTTCAGCCTGTAGATTTCCATCTTACTAAACTTAATTTTATTAATTTTTCACCATAGGAGCAGTCTTAAATAAAATCATTTAAATTACGAGGTCTGATATTAGCTTCAAATATTTGTTATTTAATTTTTACCTTGTCCTAGATGTGTTAAACATAAAAGGATAAATTTCATATATAAAAGCTAACCCAATATTAAATACACTTTAGACCACATTCCATACGACGAAAAGCAACATAAGTTGCCTAAGGCACAGGTCATTCTATTAATCATGACTATAAAACCATCATTGATTTGACATCTTTTATACCCTAAATTAATAAATAAAAAAGTTTTTAAATCTCAACACCTAGATTGTTGTTATTCTTTTAAAATCATCAAAACTTGTTGAATCTTTTGGCTGTAGTAATATTATGTACAACTATTATAGTTTTTGTTACATTGACATTCTGTTATCTTCATCCTTCAAAAGTATCTTGTCAATCAGTTCCACGCTGTTCTCCGAGTGCAGAGGTACCCTCTCACCGGCTCTGGAACCAGATTGAGCCATGTGTTACCTATAGTCTAATTTAATACTGAACATCACAGTTATTTTACAACAAAATGTATAACATTTCATAACTAAATGTAATTTAAAGGGTTTTTACCCTAGTATTTTGGTGGCTCAGGCATTGTGACCTAGTAAGTATAACCATCTTTTGCTTTTCAACCATAGTCAAAATTTCACAATCTCGTTTGTTTTAACTAAATGGTTTATACTTATTTTTAGGCATTTTTCGATTTTAAAAACCTGATGATGGACTGTGTGATCCGAAAACGTTTGTTTTATTGATGTGGCCCTTTTAAGGATTTTTTAAATAAATATACCCATTTACAAAGATTAACCTCTTTTTTTTTTAATATTTTATATCGACGTCCCCTTACAATATGTTCCAGATAAAACATTTTTCGATGTTTAATAGTCTTTAGCAGTTCTCTATCTTAGGACTTCTTCATCAGTTTTCCTTGCTGTCCAAGGTATCTTCAACATTCTTTTATAAGCCCACATTTTCAATGCTTAAATTTTGTTCATGATTGATACTTTTAGAGTCCACACTTCTGCACTATACAAAAGTAAGGACCAAACATAGCACTTAACCATTTTTTATCTTAGTTCTAAATTAAGATGATTATTGCAAAGAAATGACTTCATTTTCATAAAAGTAGTTTTAGTCATTGCTATTCTACGTTTTATTTCTATTCTGGGTCTAGTTGGTCCCTTATCACAGTTCCCAAATATGTCATTTTGTGAACTTTCTTAACTTGGACTTTGTGTAATTGAAACTTTGCATCGGTATGTGGGTCACGATTATACACTAAAACATTGGTTTTGTTTGAGTTTAGTTTAAAGCCCATTTCCTCTCCTACCTTGTGAATACGATCAAGTAGAATTTGGAAACCTTCAATATTATTTAACAGAATTACTGTATCGTCTGCATATCTAATCACATTAAGTAGTTTCCCGTTGATTTTTATTCCACATGGTTGTCTCTTAAATACTTTTTTAAGTAATTGGTCCGAGTAAACATCGAACAATGTTGGCGACAAAATGCAACCTTGTCTGACTCTTCGTTGTACGGAGATTTTATTGGTGTAGTTATCTCCAATTTTTACTATAGCAGTTTGACTCCAGTACAAATTATTAATGACACGAATATCCTTGTCATCTATTCCGAAATATTTTAGAAATTGCATTAAATTTACATGCTCTACGTTATCGAATGCCTTTTCGAAGTATACGAAA